CTTATTTTTGTAAACCTGAGATTTCACATGATCCTTTAGATGCACAAAAATTGACTTATTTGCCAGTAAACCAGTTTTTTCTTAAACGATAAACCTTATATTTCTCGCAACTTGCAAAATGTTTGGCAAACCGAACATGCATTTTGATGGTAAATACGAATTATTTCTAAGCGCTGTTAAATTGTTATCTCTCCATATTAATTTGACACAATGTACTGAACACATGTGTTGTCAAGATTTGACATTTACATTCCAGAGCAGCCTTATTTTTAGGGTTAAAGTTATGACACTCAAAATGGAAAACCCTTTATTATACATCATTCGAAAGGTAATACATTAAGAAAGTTTTTTAAACAATTTGCACGCAAAGTGTATAGTGAAATTAAAAAAAAATCCCGATGAACTTAACAAGTCTTCCAAATTCGCGAATAAAATTTTATTTTATACTATTGTTCTGAAGTTCCATATGGCTTTTTAAAAAAAACTATTAGTATGTGGCATGTACCAATGTATGGGCTAACTACTAAAAAAAGAATCGTTTAATTAACTTTAATTCTTATCGAGAAATTTTAAAAAATGTAAACCTGGACACGATTTTTTACCAAAATCACAAAAAATCAAATAACTCCAAAACTAATAACTTTTGGATAAGGCAATACGGGGTTCAAACGACTCAAAATAATCTGTAGAATCACCTCCTTAAATTAATGCACCTACTTCTGACTCACCCTGTATACAGGGTGTTTCAGAATAAGATGCTGAACCTTAAGAGTGTGAATCCTTGGTTGATTTTAAGAAAAAAAGTTCAAATAAACCTATGACATAAACCTCTTAATTTTTGAGTTACAGGATGTTTAAGTTTTAAGAAAAAAATCGTTTATTTATCATAACTTCCTAGATATTTTAATAAAATTTGGCACACGCCTTTAAAGCATTAACAGTAAGTTTTTGATGTAGAAGATTTTTTATTTTTTTACCAGTGGCGTCCGTACAGGATGTGGTCTAGATATTTTTGGAAAAATATTATGCACGCCACTGCTATTTTTCAAAAAAAAAATTATTTTTTAAATCCCCATTCATTTTAGGGCAAATTTAATTTCCTGACCATTTTTAGTACGACTAACGGTTTTCGATGAAAAAATATAAATTGAGAAAACAATGCCATGATTAAATAAACATTAAAATTAAATTTAATTATAAAATAATTTTAAAAGAACTAACATTAAATAACGTAAACAAAAACAAAAATAATTTAGATTAGCTGTTGAAAGTGGCCACCACCTGCTTCATGTTTCAGCTCTTCTCCTCATTGAGTTTCGTACCCTTAGAAAAATTCCTGGAGTATTTCTGATAGTGTCACAACAAACTATTATGCGGTTTCTCAACTCCTCCTCAGTATTTATTGGGGTGCTGTAAACCAACGCCTTAAGATGTCCCCATGGGAAAAAATCTAGACTGTTTAGGTCTGGCGATCTAGGTGGCCAGGATTGTGTTCCTCCGCGCCCTATCCAGCGATTTCTATAATGTTAATTTAAAAATTCCCGTGCCTGGAGACTGAAATGGGGAGGTGCACCATCGTGCATAAACCACATAATATGAAGCCGGGTAAAAGGTGTTAAATTTTAAGTACTTAAATATCTGTCAAAACTGTAAAAAATTATTTATTTTGTCATTTCTGTTTCCTTAACAACAAAGTTTATAGCCTCCTTTTCAGAAATTATAGGCTCATGGCAATATGCGCATTAAATGCTTTTTATTTTTTTCATCGAAAACCGTTAGTCGTACGAAAAATGGTCAAGAAATCAAATTTGCCCTAAAATGAATGGGGATATAAAAAATAATTTTTAATTTAAAAAATAGCAGTGGCGTGCATAATATTTTTCCAAAAATATCTAGACCACATCCTGTACGGACGCCACTGGTAAAAAAATAAAAAATATTCTACATCAAAAACTTACTGTTAATGCTTAGAAGACGTGTGCCAAATTTTATAAATATATCTAGGAAGTTATTAAAGATTTTTTTCTTAAAACTTTAACACCCTGTAACTCAAAAATTAAGAGGTATAGGTCATAGGTTTATTTGAACTTTTTTTCTTAAAATCAAATAAGGATTCACACCCTTAAGGTTCAGCATCTTATTCTGAAACACCCTGTATAACAGAGATATACCTAGAGGTGGGAGAATGAGCTTTAACGTGCGCGAATGGGGACACACTCATAGCCGCCATTTTGAACCATGTATACGAGGCGCGGTCAAAAATGTTGGTTTTCTGCACGTTTTAAAAGCCAAACACATTTTATATTAGATTAATTCTCACAATATAAAAACACAACCAAATTACAAGTATACAAAAATTCAACTAAACCAAAGATATCGGTGTAGAAAACAGATAGAACTTATTATTCTCAGATAATCAGGTGGTTGTTTTTAGACCTTTAAACCTCTAAAAACAATGTGGTTATGTACATCTTTTTCAAAATGTCAGCCATGAGCAGGGTGGAAGAAGGAGGTGATACATAAATACATAGATACATGATACATAATACATAGAAATCTCTATCCCGGAAGGCGGCCAACTCAGTATTTGTTAAAAGTCTGAACAGATGGCGCATTGAAGTGGAACCTGTTATAATTCCGGTGCACAACAAACTTTTCCCATTTTTTAGAAAAATTGCTTAATTAATATTCAAATAAAACCATTTCAACGTCACTTTTGTGCGTTTGTGGCGACTGTGCATTTTGCTGCAAGAAAAAAAGTAATTTTCGTTAAGGAGGTTAGAATTCTAAGACTCTCCTTGGGTTTTCGTTATTTTATAATTTGTTGTTAAAAGTTAAGTTGTTACACGTTGGTACATTTGGCGTTTTCAACTTAAAAAATATATAATCTTCCAAACATTTTTTTTTAAATAGTGATATTATTAGCTTTACTTTGCAAGAAAAATTAAAATTGCGTATGTAGCCGTTGTGAAGATATACACTTAAATGTATTTTTTTATAAATTTATTTGCAACATTAAGCTTAGTCTCTGTGTATCGCCTCTTTTATTGAGGTTTTTTGGACATTTTCCTATTTCAATGGCTTCACGAATGGTACGTTTGGTTCTGTATTCGATGCTAGCCAAGACCCTTGTTTTTTCAAAGTCAATTTCCCAATATCGCCAGCAATAGCCAACTTATTCATGGAAGACATAGAAGTACGAGCAATCGAAACGGCAACACTAAAATCAAAGTTACGGCTACGGTACGTAAAAGACACATTTGTCATCTGGAAGAAATTCCTGGACCAGAATTCCCAAAAAGATTAAGTTCACAATGGAAACCGAGAAAGAACACCAATTACCTTTTCTGGCCATCCGGATGGCCATCCGGATGTCTTCATAATCAAGATAAATAATGGCACACGCCCAGTCTCACCACCACCCGTCACAACTGCAGTCAATCATTAAGACACTTGTCACGCGAAAGGCTGGCGGATGATGACCACAAGAAACAAGAAGACCTGAAATTCCAAACGACACTACAGCAAAACGCATTCTCCAAAACCATCATCAAAAAGGCTCTTAGACCAGAACGCCGGTTAAATACCACAGAGGACGAGAACAACAAACCAACTTCGAAGGCCTTCCTTCCCTACGTGGAAGGGACAACCGAGAGAATAGGCAAAGTTCTCAAAAAAACATAACATTTACCGCCACAAGAAAGATCGGTCAAATACTTCCAAACGTCAAACCAAAATAGAGTTAGAGGCACAAGGGTTGTACGAAACTCCTTGTAATAATTGTGACGGAAGCTACGTTGGACAGACCAATAGACGTATCAACGTTGGACGTGAAAAACATCGAAACGCAGTCTTAAAACATCTTTCTTAGCTGCACACGTCCGAAAAACTTCCCATGAAATTGACTTTGAAAAAACAAGGGCCTTGGCTAGCATCGAACACATGACCAAGAAACCTCAGCACAAGAGACGATACACAGAGACTACCAACTGCATAAAAACCAGCTCTTACAACCACCAAAACGCCACGCAAATTAACGATATCAATGTTCTGCTTTAGGTTTTCACGGGCGTTATAATATATACATATTATGTATTGATGGTTTTCCGGTATCTGCTCTGTGTATATATATATATATATAAATATATAATAGCATAGCTGTGGTCATTTTCACTAGAACACATGTTAAGCTTATTGTTGCGCATTAATTTATAAAAAAATACATTTAAGTGTATAGGTATCTCCACAACGGCTACATACGCGATTTTAATGTTTCTTACAAAGTAAAGCTAATAATATCACTATTTAAAAAAAATGTTTGGAAGATTATATATTTTTTAAGTTGAAAACGCCAAATGTACCAACGTTATAGAATATATGGATTTCGTTGGTAAAACCTTAGGTTCTTAGTTGAATCGCCATCTAAAGAACAACGAACGGAATACTTATCTGGACGCTTGCTTCTGTACTGTAGCGATAGGAGCTATATCACCTTCTTCCTCCCTGGCCATGAGCCTGTCGCCAATGGCGACTCGCCATAAAATTGGATGCGTAATGGTCTAAGCTCCTTCTCCCCCCTCTATGTCTCTGATATACAGCTCGTTCAGACTAAAACCGAATATATCTATATATATATGGGGCGTGGCCTCGCCTCCCTCCAACGCGCGACACAGTAGCTAAGCAAATAGACTGCATCGCTAATGAGATTTTTTGCATTATTATCATTTAATTTTTTAAGTCCTTACCTGCTCGACCTTTCGTCATGTCGTTTATCACACAAGCAACTGTGACGCGCCTTGGAGGGAGGCGAGGCCACGCCCCATATATATATAGATATTTTCGGTTTTATTCTGAACAGGCTGTATATATATATATATATATATATATATATATATATATATATATATATAAGAATCTAATTTAATTATTAGGTATTAATAATGCAATATTGCAATTGCAATATTTATTGCTCAAATATAACTAAAAATAAATATACTTACGAATTTGGCAAATTTTTCATTTTAAAGCAAAAATTTTCATCAGCTCCGTTGGGGCAATCATTGGATCCATCACATACCACATCATAAGAAACACACTTATTGGTACTAAAAAAAATATACATATGTACATTCCATATAAATATATAGCTATATATACAAATAGTACAAAACTACAAAAACTAACAAAAGCAAGTATATTCTGATACATCTACCTCTGTTATAGATACAAAATGCTAAAGCATAACTAGAACTAATTTGAATGTTAGTTAGTTGTCGATTACTGACGATCACGATCGTTAGCTTTAGTTTAAGTTTAAATTCACGCGTTTCTTCAAATCCGTCTGTGTTACTGCCATTTTATTTAGGGTGAACATTGTTTTAATAGTTTTGTTTCACCTATATATCTACTGAAAGCCTATCCTATATACAATTTTTAGTTGTTAAGACTTTTTCAAACGAAATTTAGTAAGATCATTCTGTCTTTATCTTGTGAGTGTGTCTGATTTTATATATAGCACAGACTGCAGGGCCGAATTAAGGGGGGCTGAGGCGGTTAAGGCCCCGGGCATCCGCATCATATATGCCTCCAAAACTAGTTATACTACAAATACCAATATATTTAATTCCACTTCTTTACTTCTTTCTTAAACTGAAACGTCAATTTCCCTTTACTTACTTACTTATTACTAGTGGGCAGTGTTGTCAATACGTCTGAATAAGGTTCAGCAAGTGATTTGTACAATCTTTTACTGGAAAGTAAATTGGGCGAATTGTTTCCGAATGTAGCTGTCGCTTATCGTATGTTTCTTTTAATACCAATTGCGAACTGCGAGGCAGAATTAAGTTTTTCAAAGCTAAAAAAAATCGCCTGCGATCAACAATGGGACAAGAATTCTTTGAAGAACATCATATATTGTGTTATCTTTACTCAATGGTTATCTATTGAAACCGTAAACAATATTGAAAATGCAGACATAATTGAAGATTTTGCGTGGCTCAAGGCGAGAAAAATGAAATAAATAAATAAATAAATCATTTATTAATCCAAAGACCTTTACAGATATAGGACATAAAAAACAAATTAATAATTATAAAGAAAAATAAAAATAATAGTGACATTAAATGAAGAGGAAACCCAATTAAACTCTTATTATAAAACTAAAAAGTAAACCTTAAATATTCATTTAAATCGTAAAAACAACATTCAATTAGAATATTTTTTATTTCACGTTTGAATGATTGCAACTTGCGAATGCTTTTTAAATAATCTGGTAGCTTATTATATAAAACAGTACCAATATAGTAAGGATTTTTTTCAAACAAAGTTAAATTATGAATACTATGTTCTAAATGATGACCAAAACGTGTATTATATGTATGCAAAGCATTTAATGATCTAAATTGACTTATGTTATTGTGAACAAAAGATAAAATTTCAAAAATATATAAGGAAGGAAAACTCAATATTTTATATATTTATTTCTTAAAAAAGGTCTACAAGGTTCAGTTGTACACAAACCAAAAATACATCTTATTGCTCTTTTTTGCAATCGTAACACACGATTTACGGAGGAGCTATTTCCCCATAAAATAACGCCATATCTTAAAGACGATTCAAAATTTGAATGATAAAAACATAAGGCTGCATCCTTACTTACTATTTGGTTAAGTCGTTTTAAAGCAAAACAATAACCTGATAACCTTTTACAAACAATGTCAACATGCTGGTAGAATTTTAATTACAAGTCAAGTGTTATGCCAAGAAGTTTAAAATTGGTTACCTGTTCAATACTTTTGTTATTTAAACTTATCAAGAAGTATATTGGTTTGCAGTAGAAAAAAATTGCATTATATAAGTTTTTTCCTGATTAAAAACGAGTTTATTTGCACCTAGATATGACGTTATATTTTCCAAATTAAGTTGTAGTTCTTTAGCCATAGTGTCAGGATTTATATTTCTTGTAACAACTGTTATATCATCTGCGAAACATACGAACTTACTAGACATAAAGTTAGTAATATCATTTAAATACAATAAAAAAAGCAATTGGAAAAAAGATAACTGATACATTTTAAATCTCCTTAAAGTTTACTTTATAGTTTTGGTCTTGGGTTAATTTTAGCAAGTTTTAGCGGTTATTTGGATTATTCCGTTTTATTGTCGCCGCTAAAATAATCCATCACACTCGGCAAACAGTCGGTTACTGCATGGTATACCGGCGGTTTAGCATGTCCGCGTAGGTGTGAGCTGGATAACCAATATTGTAATGGTTCAGTACTTTAATACATTTTACAAATTTATTTTAAAGTAAAATTTATATTTTCTAAATTGTGGTGTTAAAGGCAAAAGGCTTAGCAAACCGTATTTAAAGGGACGCTTGGGTAAAGAAATTAGAAGTTTTTTCGAACTTTGCCTAAAAATCTGGTGTGCAGATGAAGCGAGAGAAGAGGGTCCAGGTACACAAAGCAACAAAACAGGCAGAAAGTTTTTAAAACTGGTATCAAACGCATCGCCTCTTATAAATGTTTGCTAAAACGAAATTTATTGTAAAGTTCTGTTTAAATAATTGTAACAAGTATTTGTGTATTCCTCAAGGTTAGTTCTTAATTTTAGTGGCCCAAATTATAAAGTAAAGTCCACTAAACGTAGAACGATTCAAATTTAGTTAACTGATCATTAGTCATTTTGCACTACTACGTTTCGTGAATTTCACTAGACATTAACACCTTTTCTTTCAGCTATTTTTACAAATTCCATTATTTTATTGGTTAAAGTTAATTTAAGTAATTGTACACTGTCCCTTTCACTAAAATGTTTCGACCTTACCTAAAACGATTGTGTATTTTTGTGGTCATTTTAAAACAAATATCGATGTGATGCGGGACGGTTTTTTGCTTAAAGGAGAGTATTAACGGTTAATTTTAAACTTTAAATGCTCCTTTTTCTTAAATGCACGTGCCTTTCAGTAGATATTAAAATGCTTCACACTGTGAGGATAAATGGTCAACTAGGTTCTCTAGTCGACATCGCAACTTTTATCTTGACCCTTCAGCTAATAGGCGAGATGTTTCCAGTGCGGACCTAGTTACCTACAGGGCAACGTTAACGTTGACACACTAACTGTTAACTGCCTGTAATGAGCGTTGCGTCATCACATTGATTTGCATTAAATTTTAAAAAACAATCGCGTGTATCGTGTATTCCTTTGCTACATAATAGCCAAACACGGTTTTTTCTCCAGCTCTGTTTTCCTGGTCGTTTCTTCCTAAGAGTCACCCCTTGCTTGTTGTAGAACGTTTGTTAAATAAATTGGGGTAAACTATTTTTTGTATACATAATTCTCCCAAGTATGGTTCCCAAAGCAATATTTTTAATAAAACAAGTAAGTAAACATAACGTAGAGGTCCCAATTTGGGTAGAACTATCACGAGCCAAAGCCACAAAATTCATTTAATATTTTTTTCCTTAAACTTGTTTTAAACGACCCTGCTGTATGTAGAAATCCTTAAATTTTTGGTGCCGATACATTGCAAAAGGAACATTGTGGAGAACTAGTGTTATTGCAGTACCGCATTGTCTTTGGGGTTTATGTCCGGCACTGTACTGTTTAATTCAAATCCATTTGATATTTTTTCGGTAAAACTTATGGCAGAAAGGCTATGCAACAGTTTAAGATATACGAGAACGAGAAAACCAAAACTTCCAACAAAAGTTAAGGGGTGTCTGGCGCCTGCGTGCAGCATTCGTTGGTGCGCCCCTTTTATATTTAAATATAATACATTAAATATTTGAATTTTAAGCCGTAAAATTTAAAAAATATATATTTTGCGACAAACTGGCAATATGTAATTGAAAATGTAAAAAAACCGCTTAAATTAAGCATAAAAAATATTTATTAAATTACCAAACAAACAAGTAATATCATAAAGCTTAATTTTCATGTATCCGTTTGTCCGTCAGTCCGTTCATCCGGGAGCGCTCTTATTGGTCCAATTATAATTCGAAAATTATGACATTTTATCGGTCCGTCAAGTTTTAACTTCGTACGTCTGACAGAGAAAGGTTAAATAATTTTAACTCATCCGTCACTAAACATCTGTTTTTGACGCCTAACGTTATTTTAAGATAATTTATTTTCAAATATTTTTATATTTTTTCAATAAGATTGTAAAACGAAAATATTACGTTCGTTATGTGAATAATGTTTTACTGTTAAGTTTTTATTTAATAAGAATAACGGAAAAAAAGAAAGGACAAACAAAAAAATTAAAACTAAAACTAAAAGGACCTGCTTTTTTAAAACTATACATTTTAATGTATATTAGGACTAGTATATTCTTTTTATAAGGTATATTTACCTACCTTTAAATTTATTAGACAGCTAACTGTTAAAGTTACAATTGTTGACATAATTGTAACTATGACAATTAAGCATTAGGTAAATTTAGTAAGTGCACTTACTATTCATGAATATACTGACACTTAATTTCTATTTGTCGCAAAATCAATCCGTCATTAAAAAACGTATGCATGAAAATTAGAACATTTCTTATCGGACGATTTTATTAAAAAACTGACATACGGATGACGGACAAACGGATACATGAAAATTAAGCTTAAGGGCATCTATTTTATCGAAAAAAATCGAAAAAACACGTTGCTAAGTAATATTTTAACAAGAAGCATGAGTGCTGGTGGCAACAAAAATCCGAGTCGAAGTCGAGGATTTTTGCACCTGCACGAATGCATTTTGTTAAAAAATATTACTTATCATTGTGTTTTAACGATTTTTTTCATAGGAAAAGTTAGATGCCCGAATGGTATTTGACAAGACAATTTCATGAAAAACAGTTAACAATTAAAATATAAATTGCAATTTTTGGTGACAACAGCTGTCAAGTTTTGCCGCGGGTAAACTCGAAAAAAACTGCTGACAGGTGCTGTCAAACAGTTTTTCCACCTAGAAACCATTTGTAGTTCAAAATTGGGCGTTTGTGATTGGTGGAAATTAAGACGAGTGGAATAGTCAGTGTTAAAAATATTCTAAAGAAAACAAAAAAAAAACAATCTAAACAATATAATAACTTCAATTGGTTTTTAGTGA